GATAGTTGAATTTTTTTGTGATTGGATGTGATGTTTGTAAGAGAAAAAATGAAATAATTATAGAGTTTGATGTGATATTTTATTTGGATTTATTTTTTTTAATTTTGTAAAAAATTTGTCTTTTAATAAAAAAAAATAAAAATAAAAAAACCTAAAAAATATTGTTGCCAAACACCGCCATTTCTTCGTTCACGTGTCAATTTTCTAGATTACCTAGACTAATCCAAAATGACCAGGACTAATGGCAGTCAATTTTTGCCACAAAAAGGTTTTAGGTAACTCGAGAGAAAAGGTAGCACAATATGGAATGGGAAAACTGAATGGCTTAAGGATGGAGTAAGCGACTTGGTATATACCCCTGTATCACTTTTTGTACTTTTTACTTTTTATTGAACTTCATATAAAAAATCTAGTGATGCTACAGAGCCTGAATATAGGGGTTTGAATTTGGCTCGAAATTAGAAGGAAAAAGAAGGAGGAGGAGGAGGAGGAGGAGGAGGAGGAGAAGAAGGAGAAGAAGAACTCAATTGGAGGGGCCAACAAAATAGGGCGGAGGTGGAGGTGGAGGTGGAGGTGGAGGCGGAGGGGGAGGTGGATGCAGAGGCGGCGGCGGGCGGAGGCAGAGGTGGAGACGGGGCTGCGATGCCGACGAGCGACGAGGGACGAGTTGCGAGATCGGCCGACGAGCTGGGACGCCGACGGGCTGCGATGCCGACGACGACCGGCGTTCTCGCTCTCGCTCTCGCCTCTGTGTTCTCTCTCTCGCCTCTGTTCAACTCAACGAAGAAGAAGAAAGAAAAGGAAGAAAAGAAAAGGAAGGAAAAAAATAAAAAATAAAACCCAAAACGAAAAGGAAGAAAAGAAAAGGAAGGAAAAAAATAAAAAATAAAACCCAAAACGACGTCGTTTGGGTTTTGAGCCAGATTCGAGCCCCTAATTTCGGGCCCTCAAACATTATTCTAAAAAATCTAAGAAAATGCTATATATAATTTATTTTATGGGGCATTTACACATAATACTAATTTATAAACTTATATTTCGTTAAGTTTTGATTAAAATTTTTTAGATCTTCAAGTCCCATCAAATTTTTAATAGTCGAAATTATCCTTCAAATAATTATTGTTCATCATTTATAATTATCTAGGGCGAATTACACTAACAGTCCTTATAGTTTGGGACTTATATCACTTTGGTCTTTGACTTTTTATTGTGATACATTTGACTGTGAATTTTGAATCTTGTTTCAAATAAGAGCAATTGAAGATATCATTACTCAATTTCAGAGGTAAAGTCATTAATTTTATAAAAATATAAACTAATTTAACAAAAATAACTATCAAAAAAATATTTTTAAAATTTTAAAATTATTTCTACCTACCAAAGATAAAATTATATAAAATTGATAAATCTTTTAAGCATTTATTTATTTTACCAAATTAATTTTTATTATGTCTTTGAATGATGATCATGTAATATGTGGTTGTTAAGTTTTTAATGTATAATCAATCTATTTAATATATGAAATATTTTTAGTTTTGAATTTTTTAATTTAATAATGATATCAAAGTTGTCGTTATATTTAAGTTTTGGAAAAATAGAAACTAATTTAATGAAAATAAAAACAATCATCCATTACATGATCATTATCCAAACACATAATAAAAATTAATTTGATAAAAAAAATAAATGTGTAAACGATTTATCAATTTTACATAATTTTATCTTTATCTAGTGGATAAAAATAATTTTAAGAATTTCAAAAATATTTTTTGACATTTATTTTTGTCAAATTAGTTTAAATTCTTAGAGATTAAAATAAAATTATATAAATTTTTGATGGACAAAAATGTTAATTTCTATTATATACACTCAAAAACAACATAGGTCAAACGAGACTTTTGTATAGTATGGAAGGCTGAGACAAAAAAATTTAATTTTAAAGAGGCCAAAGTAAGACCATATAAATTTTGCACTAACCAAAATACAAATCTTTATCACAAATATTAAAATAGTATTGGGCAAACAAATTTTGAAGGAACCAAAGTAAAACCATATCAATTTTGAAGTTTATGGAGTGGTTGCCCTATCAACTATTGTGTCAGCTAATGATCACCGGATTTAAATCATGAAAATAAATTCTAATTCTTTCTGAATTTTAAAATGACAGGTAACATAATACACCGAGTGACTACCTTTTGTAACTACAAATTATAAAATGATGATAATATCACAAATAATGCCAAAAAAAAAAAGAAAAGAGACTATCACAAGTTTAAATTATAAAATCTCTTTACACACGTATGTAAAGTAACATTGCATACAGCTTATTTTTTCAAACTCAAAAATAAAATAAAGGAACATGATGCCCTATAAATTATCAATGAGTAGTAGAAGAAAGCATTTTTTTTTGGCACTTGCCATTGAGGGGAGGGGAAATGATCTTTGTTTGGTTGCATTGCACAGCTAGGACTTTCTCTCTTATCTCTAAATGTTTCTTCGTAGTGATATGTTTTTGAGAAGTAGGACTTAGCCCAAGTTTGGCAATTTAAAATAAGTATACATTTTTTATTTTTTTATTTTTTTTATCACATCATCTCTCTACTTTTCTGTTAGGGGTGGGCGCGGGTCGGTTGCGGCCACGGAACCTCCAATCCGCCATCCGTCCGCCAGATTGGCGGATTGAAGAAAATCAATCCGCATCCGTCCGCCAATCCGGCGGATGTGGATTGAGCGGATTGGCGGTTTGGCGGATGGATGCGAATCGGTTTGGCGGTTTAAAATTTTATAAATTTTCAACATAATTTAACTTATGCACTTCCTCAAAAAAAAAAAAAAAAGTATTACAGTCAATGACTTAAAAAAGTATTACAATCACTGTATGCCTTATTCAAAGAAAGAAAGTTTGAAACTTTAGAACATCACGATCACTGCATGCCTCATCCACATATTACAATCACAGCATGATTCAGTCACATAAAGTATTACAATCTGTGATTCTTAAAATATAATAACAATTCAAACCACTAAAACCATGAACAGAGCAGTATCTACATATGTTTTTGAAAATAAAAACCAACCATCATATATCATATTTTCTATTTATTATTTTTAGAGTTATATTTAAAAACTAAAAAATATAGATGAATAATACGTTTATTTTTTTCAATTCAAAAAATATATTAAAGTTGAAAACTTTTTTTCAACAGAATATTTAAACTATTTTTTAATTGAAAACACAAACATAATATTTAAACAAATTGAAAATACAAAGTTTTATAAATTACTAGGGGTGCTCACGATTTGGCGGTTTGGCGGTTCGGTTGCGGCCACAAAATCTCAAATCCGCCATCCGTCCGCCAAATTGGCGGATTGGAGAAAATCAATCCGCAACCGTCCGCTCGTCATCACGCATCCGTCCAAAATGCGGCGGATCGGTTCGGTTCGGTCAGTTTTGACGGATCGGTATATCCGCTGCTCACCCCTATTTTCTATACATCTTTTCATAAAAAGATAAAAAATATATTTATTTAGATCATTCCTTAACAATCCCTTACTACTACTGGGGTAATAATAATTGATATGAGTAAAAAAAAAAAAAAGTTAACAAAGACTCAGTGGGTGGATGACCAAATCTTGGACCACTGGCCCAAAGTTGGGCCCCCCAAAAGTCCTCTCACCTCGAAGATTGTGTTTGGCAGCTTGGAAATTCAACATGATGTTTCGGATTCTCATGAATTACAAATCATCTTTATATTCCAACTTACTACTCCAAATAAAAAAAAATGTACACCCAATCTTACAAAAATTATTAATTCATCATCGTATCTCTGATTCTCATGACATTGCAAATCATCTTTTGGTTATTTTAAAAAGATGAATAAAAATTAACTATTTCACTTTTTTTTTAAATATATATATATATATAAATATAAAAAATAATGTGACTCAAAATAGACTAAAAATTAAAAGATGACTTTTAACAATCTTCTTAAAATAACCCTTTATATTCCAACTTACTAATCCGAATAAAAAACTGTAAACTTTGTACACCCAGTCAACCAACTTATATATCCAATCTTTCATCCACTATTACTAAAATAATTATGGACATACCATCCCTTATGTTAAGAAAAAAATTATAGTGCATAGTGCACAATATTTCTAAATAAATAAATACACATAATTAAGGAGATTCAAACTCCCTCCAATTGACAAAATCTTTGTAATCATTTGGTGCAACAGATTTTTTCGTAATCATCTGGTGCAACAGATTTCCTTATATGATTGGTTTTCGCATAATATAATATAGAAATATTCTTAAAAATCTATGTAAAAACTATTATACAAAATGTATATAATAAAATAGAGAGAACTAAAACATGAAGACCATTTTCTTTTCTTGATCATTCCAAGCTTTTTGATAAGAAGTAAATTAGAAAATTACAATTCAATGAAATAGTGACAAAAAAACAATATAGTTTCAAGAAAATACAACTCTCATACATACATAAGATTTTTTTTTAAAGAAAAATGAATCCTTTTCGTCAATCAATTGGCTTGTAAGTCACATAATCTAGAAGAATACATACAAAGAAAACAGCATCACGTGGAAAAATAGGCCTCACTTTTTGCATATCACATTAATATTTTATAACCATCTTATCTTTTTCGTCTTTATTTATTATTTTATTAAAACTTTTCTTTTAAGTCTCCTTCCTGAGTAAATACAGTTTACATTTAGAGATTGTTTAGAATATTCTAAATAAGTGTACTTTTTGACTTTTTATAAAATATAGATTGAGTTTGAAATGATATAGTAAAGAGATGATCTGATTTAAATAGAATAGTGACTTTTTGACTTTTTTAAAACACCTCAAACAAGGCCTTAATAAACGTGTATTAGTTAAACCACATGAATGAAAAGTTCATAATTCTAATATTAAAATAGATTGTGCATTAAGAAAACAAGTACAAAGTAAAATATCAAAGCAATAATAAAGTGAAAGGGAAAGAAAAAAAAACAAAACAATAAAAAGCATATTGGTGTAATTATACAGGGTTGGAGTATGAACAAATACAATGGCACGTTTACATATTTAATGTTTCCCTCACTCAAATGGGGATAATATTTTTTCTTTTTTTAAGGGGAAAAAATTGTAAACACGCAAACAATGTTGAATTGAAGATACTCAATACTACACACAAGAGTTTAGAGTCTCGCGCTTGGGAAAGTCAGCCAATCAGATGGCCAAGATACAATGTTGAACAAATCCAGTTCTTTGATTAGATCATGATCCATCAAAACGGGTGCGTCCAACACTGTCACAAGCCGAGCTAAGGTCCACCAAATCAAATTACATCTTTAATTAGAGTTCCAAAGTAATCTTCGACTTGGAGCAGGAGGGGCCAATCCCGGAACATTCCGAATGTCTTTGTTGTGTGGATTCACAAGCTGGAAATTCAAATATTCAAAAATATATCAGCACATAATACAAGCTAACTTATTCAGGAATTATATTTGGAAGCATTAAACCTCCAAGAGTTGTTCACTGTCAAATTGTTCTTCCAGAATGTTCAAAATGCAAACAGGATCTGAACTTCAAAGATGTGAATAGTTTGTACATTTTGTACAAAGTATTAGGGACATGATGTCCAACAAGATTAAATAATGTAATTTAAATGTATCTGAACAAAATTAATATACTTGCTTTAATGCTACGCTCGGATTTTTACTTATAAAAAAAATGCTATGTTTGGATCTTGGAATTACTAAGGGAAAGAAAGATGATAGGAAAATGAAATATTTTGTGCAGATTCATTATTTTATAGGTAACTAAACAAAAACAAAACTAATTTTTTTATGACAAATGTCTTCTTGTGTTTTCCTCTTATTTTGTAACCCAACAAAAGAGGAGCTTATTCCACTTCATTTTTTTTTTTTTGATTGGCACAGGGTGTCCACATCAAAGTCCAACTAATCCCCACACTTCATTATAAACTTATCTATTACTTTTCCTTTTCCTTTTCCATTCCCTCCACAATTTCAAGATCCAAACATAGAGTAGGAGAAATGTCAAAGGGATTTTGAAATGAGGTGCAGAAAGAAAGGACTCCATTGCTATTGTTATGATAAATTTCAATGGAAAAGGGATGTCATATGAACTACACAAATAAGAATTGACTCAACAATGTGGAAATGTTGTCCAAAAATGAACCGACTAAAGATAAACTAGATGCCATGTTACAAAGGAGGAAAGAATAACTGAATTTGACTCCTATCTACATTATGAAAGCATCATCATGTGTACACGCTGCAGCTACCATAAACTATGGATACAACCTTCACCTAATCACATTCTGGTCAAGCTTTTACCTACCCGAATCCAATCCCCTAATTTTGCTATCCCTGTTATTTTCATTGTCTGAAATAGTTTGAAATGGAAAATATATGAATTATTTCAAATAATTTTAAATGAACTAAAAATTTAGAGAAAGAGAGAAAATAAATTATGTATATATATTATTGATTGATATGTTGTTACAAGATTGATAAATTACAATTCCTATACAATCTATATATAGAAGAAAATGTGGTAGTAGGTGTAGTGGAGGTGATAGTGGGTTAGGTGAAGTGGAGTGTGTGGTGAAGTGGAGGTAGGTGAAGTGGAGTGTGTAGTGGAGTAGGTGAAGGTAAAGATGGGAAATTCTAACAATTTTAAATGAACTAAAAATTAGACACCAGATTAATATTGCAGTTACATTAAGTTTTACTAATTAGGTCTGCAATGTCTAGGCCAAAATCCTAACCCAAATCCGAAGGGGCAAAAAACTATGGTTTACATCACAGGTAAAGAATTCAACTTGATGCACCAGGGATAATTCTTTTATATCAAAGAAACAGACTAGTATTGGTGAAGCAACATGAACCATTGAAGGAATATCAGAATACATAAATTGACCAAACAAAAGTTGCATCTTACTTCTGTCATAGCAAGCAATGAAAAGAAATAAATAAGCACACATCTAACCTTCACGATAATGATCGCTATGACTCCAAGCACAACAATAAAGAGCAAAGCCATAATGCACCGATCAGTTGCAACCTAATCAAGGAATTTGAGTAAGTATCATAAAATAACAACATATATTCAGTAAATCAAGGAAGAAGGGTGTTAATATTTTAGACATTGACCTGCCTACCAATTTCCTTCACCAGTTTAGAAGCCTTCTTGATTGAGAAATGGATAGAATCCAACTCATTAACAATCCTACTCATTTGTTCAGTCTGAACATAAAAGAGACATAATATTTCAGTTCTCACATCTAAATTTTAGAAATTGTCACAAAATTTAACTTGCTTTCTCAAAGCTGTCAAACAAAGTACCTGTGCCTTCAGAGCTGCTGCAGTGTCTGTTCCAACATTAATTGTCTCATGGACAACCTAATAGAAAAACAGAGAGCATGGAAATAACCTTTCAAAGATTAAAAAGAAACTTCAACTCTCTCGGTGGGGCACAATTGGGAACATAAAACTCGTAATCACATATTATGTAAGAAGTGACACCGGTCGAAGATAAAATGGAGGAACGCTGTTTGGGGTGGCCTGCCCATGTGGAATATACATCAACTAATGCATGGGTACAAATGAGTAACTCAATTCAAATTGAAGGTTAGAGGAAAGCCTAAAAGAACATGCATTGAGGCCATGAGCATGGACATTTTTGAATTGAGTGACTGGAGGAGATGAAGCCACGTAGCAACCCCAAGTAACTGGCATAAGGTCTGTTGAGTTGAGTTGAGTTGAGTAAAGCATAAAAGACATACTAACCTTTTTAGACCTCTCAATGGCTTGATCAGTCTCATCCATCATCTGATTCCCATTATCTATTAGCTGTTGATTTGTCATAGCTGCAATATGGACACTTCAACTCAGATATTTTACAAAGGAGAATGAACATAATAATAACATTAAATTTTCAACCAACATTCTGCATGTCACATAAAAACATAGGCTTACAAATTCCATAGCATTCCAGAATAAAAAAGGGATATTTACCAATAAATCCCATCTCACAACACAAGTACTCCAATTAGTCCCAAGTTTTTTCTATTGATCTGTTAAGTCTTATTAGTGGAGAGTTTCTTTCCGTGTGGTCCTATTTTTGATTTTGGTAGTGTTTTGGTGGACAGCTATACATTTTTATTAATGTGATAGGTATGATGTGATACTCCAATGTGGTAGGTATTAATGTAACACTTCAAGGATGTAACAGTTTAAAAAAATTAGAAACTCCTTAGTGTACTTTTTCTAAATGTGATAACGTGGTGGGTATGATGTGACACTCAAAAACTTTTACTCTAAAAAAAAATAAAAATTTCTTAGTGTACTTTTTCCAAATGTAACGTGTCGAGTATGGTGTGACATTTCAAAAAAAAAATAAAAACTCTTTAATATACGTTTCTCAAACGTGACAACATGACGGGTATGATGTGACACTCTAAAAAAATTAAAAACTCCTTAGTGTACTTTTTCCAAATGTGACATGTGACACTCCAATGTGGCGGGTATGATAAAACTTCTTAGTGTATTTTTTCTAAATATGACAACGTGGCGCGTATGATGTGACACTCCAAAACTTACTCCAAAAAAAAAAAAAAAAAAAAAAAAAAAATTCTTAAGTGTACTTTTCTCAAATGTGACAATGTAGCGGGTATGATGTGATGTGACAATGTGACGGGTATGATGTGACACTTCAAAAAAAATAAACTATTTAATGTACTTTTCTCAAACGTGACAAGGTGACAAGTATGATATGACACTAAAAAAAATTAAAAATTCCAGTGTACTTTTTTCAAACATGACATATGACACTCCAACATGGCGAGTATGATATGATACTCTAAAAAAATTTAAAACTCTTTAATGTACTTTTTCCAAATGTGATACTCTATCGTGGCGGGTATGATGAGACACTAAAAAATCATTTAGTGTACTTTTTTCAAATGTGATACTCTAATATGGTGAGCAAATGAGTCATTACACATCTAAAAGGACTAAATGGATTACAAGAAAAACTATAGGACTATATGGATTACAAGTTCAAAATATTGGACTCATTGGTCAATCTCCCAATAAAAAAACCATGGGCAAGAAAATTTTCACCATAAAGCAGGTTTTACCAGTTCATAATAGTGACAATTATTCCACTCAAGATAATCCATACCATTACTACCCCCCCCCCAAAAAAAAAAAAAAAAAAAAAAAAAGGGGCCCAAAAAAAAAAAAAAAAAAAAGGGAGGCTATTTCCTTGTCCTGGTCTATGCCAATCAAGAGAGCTGCAAGAGGTGAATTTGCAGACCTAACCTTTATCATTTTTTGCACAAAGTGACCCAAATGATTAACGATAGTCTTACAGGTTAAAGTGAGGAACAAATACAGTCATAGGAGATTCTGATGGTATGATTACTCATACTTCCAGTTCTCCATTCGGTGCTATGATACAAGATTGTTAGCAGCTTCCAGATCTTGTACTCATCCAGACAATGATTACACAGTCCATGTGCTTGGCCATTATTGCAAGTTTCAAAACTTCATTCAGCAGCAGCATACCGTTTACTAAGACAGGTAATCTTCTTAAAAGGAAGCCTTGACCATGAAGTGTGGGCACATGGGAAAAGGAGCATGTTTATGTGCATATAAGGTGAGGTCCAATACACAGAAAAAATTGCATGCAGTCTATATGCATTCCTTAGCGGAGATCTAGAGCAATGGAGAACAAAATTACAATTTGATGTTCCAATTAAAAATCTACTATAAAGTTGACTTAAAAGCATATTGCCATGATATGCCTTCGTCTTATGTGATAGATACAATTACTAGAGTTAAGTGTTACTATAGGTGGGAACATGAACCTCCACATGGACTGCAAAATGGAAATCAGTATTATCCATAACCCTGTAGAATATCATCAATAAATCACACAACAGGCACGTGATGTGTGTGAAGCGAAGTCCTACATCGCCTACGTACTAAAGTAATGTGAAACATAAAAGTGTGAGGGCACCCTCACCTCACCTAGGAACTGAAGTAACTAGTACATAAGCACGAGAACACCCCCTCACCTCAACAGCAAGCATTTGGGGTTAAGTTCTACCTAAAACCATGTAATAGTGTGACGGTAAACTCCATCAAAAAGTAACTAGAATCTAGTCATAATTGTGCTAGTCATATTTGTGCATCATTCATGAAGACAAAAGAGCAACTGAAAGGTATTGGCCTCGTTTGGGAAGTGGCTATTTTAGTAGGCTATTTTAGTTTTTGACTATTTTAGTAGGTTAAAATTTTTGTGTTTGGGAAGATGATTAGATTTTTTTGTGGTTGGATGTGATGTTTGTGAGAGAAAAAGTGAAATGATTATGGATTTGATGTGATATTTTGTCTTATTAGCTATTTTAGCTTATTTTGACTTTTTGTGATTTTTAGCCTAAACTAGGCTATTTTTTTTCTTCCCAAACACCCCCATTATCAGATTTTCCCCTTTTCTTCTTCCCATGATCTTCATCACTGTGTCCATCTCTTATAAGAAAGATTGCACCACACATCCATCTGCTAAAAACCCTTCCTAGTGGTGCCCACTCATATTCTCGACCTCCAAAGTTTTTACTCTCATTTTTTGGCTCACTCTATAACTGTCCCCTTCCTTCACTTCCACTCACCCTTTCCTAGCTACCACACTCCTAAAGGTGGTGCAACAAACCAAAGCGAGCCTTAAGTCCCATTAAATGGGGTCGGTTACATGAATCTTTCTTCTCCATTTGACTCCATCATCGGCCATTTGATTAGTCAAATTAAGGAGATTTATATCTCTATTTACTACACTCGCCCACGTCAATCTAGGTCTACCCCTTCTCCTAACACTTCTATCTACCGTCACTGTATCACATCTCTTTACTACTACCTTTATTGGCCTCTATTGTATATGACCAAACCATCTCAATCTATTTTCTCTCAACTTATCTTCTATTGGTGCTACTCCTACCTATTCACGAATATGCTCATTCCTAATTCTGTCTTTTCTAATCTTGTCGCACATCCACCTCAGTATGATGATCTAGGGACACTTAAATACAAAATGTCCATAAACATACATAACAATTAGTGTTACATAGACTCTTCTATTTCCTACCTATATCCACTGAACATGACAAGGGTAAGAGTGTGGGATATGTATCTGACACTCGTACCCATTTTTGAGACTTGGATACTCAAATTTTATATGAAATTTTTTTTTTTTTTAGGAAGAAGAAGCTCACATTTGCTACTAAAAGATTACTTCTTGCCTCTTACATGAACGGGAAATAGAAATTTTATATTTTTCCTGAATCTTATTTAATTTTAGGCACATCATACCTAAAAATATTATACAATACGTAATATATATGTTCATGACATGTCAACGTACCCATACCCGACTTTTGAATACATATTCGAATATGCTAAGATTTAGCTTTAGAAAAATTTGGTGCTTGGACATGCACCCGCACCCAATACTCACACTTGAGTCCATGATATAGATAATAACAAAATCACACAAGCAAGTATGCATGCTTTTGCTTATGCCACAAGATGATGTTGAATAGCTAATGACCTATAGTTGAATATCAATTCAAATGTCTTCATTCCATATTTAAGAACTCCCTTTTATAGTGTGTAAAACGCATAGTGCAACAAATCACTGAAAATTGCATGTTAGCAATCATATGCTTACATGAAGCTAGCAAGACGTTGTCTTCTGCCAACCCTTCGCCAGGCCCCTCAAAGAGATCAACTCGCTTGTTGTCAAGATTGCTTGCATATCTATATCACCATCCACAAAAATGTTAAACAAAACATAGAATAACAACATGAGCATAAATACACCTAAAAATTAAAGATTCTTACACTTCACATTTTATTTTTCAAAAAAAAGACTTTAAACGTGGACAAAAAGACTTGGCACATAAACTTCTAAAAGATATATTTGAAATTGACTTAAAACACAGATGACTTATAGACACTATTTTCTTAAGCCATCCAAAGAACCAACCAAACAACCAACAATTTTTTTTTAAAAATAATATATTTATATATAATAAAAAGACGAAGCTGGAGAATAGAAAAGGAACAAAACTGTTAAAATTTACCATCACCTACCACCAATTTACCATCACCTACCACCACCTACTCCTCACCTACTACACTTCACCTACTCCCCTTCACCTACTACCTTCTTCTCTTCTATATATATGAATCAATGTAAACACAACAATATATCAATCAATACATCAATAAATATCAATATACATCAATCAATAATACAATTCTCTTTATACATTGAATCTTACAAAAACAATGAAAGAAAACATGTTCAACAAAAGTAAGGGGCTTTATAGAATTTTGTAGGCATGTATCCAATAAGCATGTTCAACATAGAAATAAAAGATGATTTTAGGTTTATTAAAAAGTTTTTATCTCTCTTCAGAGTAACCCCTTTGTCAAATTACACTTGTCTCTGTCATGTGAATGTTTCCAAATGACTCAGGATATTTGGGACATGTTGTTAGAAACTAAGAAGCATGGACACAGACAACCTGACATGACACGGACATGTTGACACCGAAAATTTCACAAAATGTAGGACACAACATGTTAGAGACACGTGCAAAATATTTAATTTCATATAATTATAATATGTCAGATATATGAATATTTAAGTCAAATATACTAATTTTAAAGTCTAAAGAAGGAGAATGTATATAAATTTACAATATTTTTGTTTTTATTATTGGATTCCAAGCTAGTTTATTCAAAATTGTAATATGTTTCATGTGTGTCCAAATGTTGGGAAGTATCTGACGAGTGTCATGTCATGTTGGTGTTGGTATTGGTGTCGGTATCGGTATCGGTATCGGACACGACATGTTACCTTCTTAGAGATACACGTGCTTCTTAGGTTAGAAAACCAATATAATAATCAAATAATCCTTCTATTGACTACTGAGATGCTTCGTCAATTGCTGAATATTAACTGCTAGATATGTCAACTTACTGCTTTTTCATAGCAACATATGAATTCAATTCTTTGACCTGCACAGAAATGGACACAACGTTCATTATTGCAAAAATGAAGCTATTTTTGAAGCATCAAGTATCAAAACCAAAATAAACTTCATAAATGAACCCACCATTGATTGCTTTTTCTCATTCAGCATCTTGTTGGTGCTTGGATCATTTCTATGCTCCAAATCCTTAACCTCTCTATCGAACTCTTTAATAAGTCTGGAGAAAAACCAACTATCATTATGTTTCTGATTTATTACAGGAAAAGAAAAAAAGAAAAAAAGAAAAAAAAAGAAATGGGAAATAAATGCTTAAGCATTGTATTTAGTAGAAACTGTTGACCATCAACAGGTCCAAATTGCATTGTGCCTTGAGATGAAACAATGCCTGCTATATTATATGTTGAAATTCTATTAACCTATTTATTATGCGTGGAAAAAAAATCATATCTAGCAATTACCAACATTTCTCAATTACACAAGAAATAGAAACGTGAGTTCCAAATAACTTAAAATCTTGCTAATGCAAACTTATGAGAACCTTAATCCTTAATTCTTAAAGGTTAACACTTCTTTTATCCAATCTGCTCTTAAGTTCAATGCCAAAACTCTGGTAGAACAAGATAAAAATTCACATGCTCCAAAAATGTATTTGAATAAAGTCAAATATGTCACCTTTGCTTCACAAACATTTCACCATTTCTACCCAATAAAGAACATTGACCAGAAGAACTTGTATCACATAAAGCATGCATTCTAAATTCTATCAATAACTAAAATGCAACTTATACACAGTTACAGAAATGGTTGTGGTCAAAAGATCAAATACCTTTTGCATTCCCGCATCTTCCCCGTGAGCTCTTCCAGCTGCCTACTCTGCCTATTTGAGTCCTTAATTTTCTCCAATTTCTGAAATCCATTTCTGCAGGAAAATAAATTGCATCATTCAAACATACATCCTACAAACTATAAAAGAGTTGTATTAATCTCCAAACAAAAAGTGCATTCACATTGAATGAAGATCAAATTCTACCAAGCTAAAGTGATTTGAAACATCAGCACACATTTCAGAGAGCCACCAATTACCACATAAAGTCAAAGACATACACATCCAACTATATGCAAATATTTAAAAATTGAAATATGACAATTGAAATGCTTACGACAGAGCTCGAAAGATATCAGCGATCTGTCCATCGATCTCCGCGAGCTCCTCGCTGATTGCAGATAACGAAGCCATCCCTCAAACTCAACCAAAATCACCCTCTACTTTTCCTTCTAAAACCAACAATATACAACAAACATCAAATCCCCTGTATTTTCATCCAACAACAATACAATTTCGATGATCAAAATCGGCAATCGCAGCAATTCCAATTCCAAACTCTTATCGAATCTGAACCCAATTCCAATCAAATTCGAATCTTCACAACAACAACAACACAATGCCGATCCTCCCAATCCCGAGAATTGAAAATCAGAAATCTTTTCAATTCCAGTCGAAATGTCGATCACTTAAGCAACAAAAATCGAAACTTTTGATCGAATCTGAACCAATTCCAACGAGCACTTTGAGAGAGCCGATTGAAAAGAAATGGAATTTGAATTCTTCGATCAGATCCGAACAATGTAGGCTTCGACGTGCGTGGATCTGATCGAATTCTAGGGTTTTGTATTGGGATCGGAAGGTCTTAGGTACGACCTACATAATCATTTCTCGTGATTTACAGACAATGCAACGTTTGAATTTAGTTTTTTAAAATTTATTTATTTATTTGGTTATTGAGGGGGGTTTTTGCAGGGGACACTGAAAGGTTAAATGATGAAAATGCTCCTATCGTAAATAAATTATTAAGGCTCCGTTTGGCACATCTCTCAAATTATAGTTTCATCAATTAATTTATGTGTATTGTTTATTTTGAATTTTTAAATCATAATTTTATACTTATTTTTTAAAACTTAATTCAAAATATAATTATTATTTTTTAAAACTCATAACTAAACACATAATTCAAAACGGACAATGTTTGGTAACTCAAAATTTTGTGGCTCAAATGGCTCAAGTCTGTCAAAACGACGTCATTTTACACTCAAAATCTGTCAAAACGATGTCGTTTTGAGTGATTTGAGCCATTTGAACCACAAAATTTTGAGCTACCTAGCATTGTTGATTCAAAACTCATTTCAAAACTCAATTCGAATCAATATTTTAATTTTTTAAATGTTTTAAATATTTAAATATTTTAAAAATATTTTAATTTTGTTAAGATTTTAAATATTTTAATATTTAAATATGTTACAATTTTTTTATTTTTTATTTTTTTGAATATTTTTAAATATTTTAATTTCAAAATATTACGATTTTAATTTTTTTAATTTTAAAATATTTTATAAAAATAAATTCAAACTCTATTTTATAAAAATATTTTTAAATATTTTAATTTTTTTGTTATATATTTGGTTACGATTTGAGTGTAGAGTTATGAAAGTAATATGGAGTTTCGAGTTATGTGTTTGGTTATGAGTTTTAAATATTGAACCAAAACAATAGTAATAAATGAAATGATAAGTAATTTTTGGTATTATTTTCTGTTAATAATAATTTTTTTTAATTGAATTTTAAAAAGAGTTTGGTTATGAGTGTTGATCAGAATTTTCAATAGTGTGAAAGTGGTGTGCTTTGTTATGAGTTATAACAATTTGAATTAAGTTTTGAAAACTCTTTCTAAAACTTATAACCAAACAAATTTTTTTACTTCACATGTCAAATCAAGCTTTTAAAACTCAATTCCACGCTCAATTCAAAACTCAATTAAAAAACCATAACCAAACAGATTTTCTTAGTTCACATGTCAAATCAAGCTTTCAAAACTCAATTCCACACTCAATTCAAAAACCATAACCAAACAAATTTTCTATACTCAAATCATAATTCTACGACTCACAAACTCAAAATATAACTCATACTTTCAAATTATATTTACAAAACTTTACCAAACGCAATCTAAATTTTTTATTAAAAATAATACTATATGTATTAATTAATTTATTAATTGATAATATAATATAATTTTAAAAAAAAATTACTAGTTAAAATTTGTATCGTGAGAAATTAATAATAATATCATAATTAATATTAATATACTAATTAATATACATAATATCACTGTTTTACTAATCCATCCATATAAACGTGAGAGTCACATGTATCATATATATGTTGATTCCACCCATGTGGGAGGGTTAGTATCCCTAACATATAATTCTTAAATAACACTAATGGTATATGTAATTAATATATTAATTGATGATGTGATATAATTTAAAATATTTTTTATAGTTATAATTTATATAATGAATAAGATTAATAATAATGTCATAATTAATATTGATATATTAATTAGTACACTAATGAGCGCAGTTGTTACCCTTCTTAAATAATTGCTGATATTTCGGGGTTTAAACCGCTAATTAGTGGGTGTTATAATTTATATAATGAATAAGATTAATAATAATGTCATAACTAATATTGATATATTAATTAGTACACTAATTAGTGCATTTGTTACCCTTCTTAAATAATTGCTGATATTTCGGAGTCAGGAGCCTCTCCTTGCAAGCTTGTGCTTGCGTCTGTCCTTGCAGGCCTTCGGGTCTACTTTTAGGCCCAATTTTGATAATCCGAACCGTTATATTTTATGATTTATTCAGTATATTATACCTGTAAAAAATCAAGTTGATCGGATATCAGAAGGTATGTGTTTGAAAAATTGAACTAAACACTATTTTTTAAAGAATTTAATAAACAGTTTTCCGAACATATGCTTTCTGATATCCGATCAACTTGATTTTTTACAGGTATGATATACTGAATAAATCATAAAATATGAACGGTTCGGATTATCAAAATTGGGCCTAAAAGTAGACCCAAAGGCCTGTAAAGACGGGCGCAAGCACGGAAGCTGCAAAGAGAGGATCCTCACTCGATATTTCGGAGTTTAAACCGCTAATTAGTGGGTCCCGCGTGCGTTTATTTGTACTAATTTGGACACTCTGTAGCTGGGTACAGTTTAACAAACGAAGTTTCGGGACCTGGCCACTTGGGTCGTCGTGTTTTGTTGGCTGAATCTTTGATCAACGGTTGTTGATGCCTTTGTGTAGTTTATGCAGATGTCGAAGAATGTAGTGGATTGCAGTTTCAGCTAGTATTGGACCAGGGTCCACGTCCGCGAGCACTTTGCGCTGACCCATGGCTCACTCAACCACCCGTTGTCATTGACGATGGCTTGCTCCTGCCAGGGCCGGCCCTCATATTTATGGGTGTCTTATGTTTTGAAAGTGAAGTCTTCTTATATATAATTTTTTATAAAAAAGTTACAGGTAAAATAATAAGTTATCAATAATTTTTTTATTATTTAATCATTACAAAATTTTTTTCTACACATATAATTATTAAAATTTATTTTCATATATTAAGATACGAAAAAATCATTACAAAGACTCAAAAAAGATAAAACAATATCTTGTTGTTTTATAGTTTAGTAATAATTAATACAAATAACATAATTCACTGATATCTGATAACACAATCATAATTCACACAAATCACCATCCACTAATTATTTGATAACAAAACAAAAATTATTTAGGAAAAAATGAGAGAAAAAACCAAGGCAAAATTATTCAATTAAATTATGAGAGAGAGAGAAGGCAGAAAAATTAGGGCAAAAAAATTAAAGAAAAGAAATTAGGATAAAATTATTCAATTATAATATGATAAAGAGAGATGGCAAAAAAATTAAGATAAAGTTATTTATTTTTATCAAAATCTGGACATTAGATTCTATTTGTACTCATTATATCATGCATATATTGTTTGGACTAATTATATAAAATTTTAATTGGGCCTAACAATGATTATATATATGTATATATTTTTAATTTGGCTTAACAGATTTTTTTGAGCAGTCTTTTAGACTAGGTCTTAAATAATAATAAAAAAAAGATTGAGTTTTGAACTTTTAATATGATATTAAACTAATAAATTTGGGGCCTTATTTTGGGCCAAAATTTGGGGACCCTAGGCACAAATCTTAGTGGCCTTAGCCCAGGTCCGGCCTTGCTCCTACGATAGTCAACTCTGCTCCAACCCCTTTTTTTCAACCTCGCTAAGTAACTCGAAAGTGAGGGTCTCAAATGGCCCGAATGAGTTGTGGCCTTAAACACCACCACAGTGTTTACCCTCTCTCTTCATCTCCCCCTCTCTATACATTTCTGAATATATGTGGTAGAGATGAGTAATCAGTTGCAGAGATGATCATGGCCTTAAACACCACCACAAGTGAAAGTCTCCATATTTGGTGGTCATCTACTCTGTTTTTTCTTCTCTTGAGCCACTCTTTAGCTCTAAACTCAAATGGGTCTCTCTTGCTCTCTTTCAAGTACTCTGTTCTTAGCGACCCACTCTCTGTTCTTAACAACTAGGACTACACCAACGACACTCTATGTTCATGGATTGACAAATTCTTCAATTGATCTCTCATTCAATAATCTCAGTGGTGAAATCTTTCAATCAATGACTTTGATGAACCAAAAAACATAGTATTTTTCGACAAAAGCAAACCCAACAACAACAACAAAGAAAAAGAAAAGACTCACGCAACTTGGTCGTGCGTGAGCGTTCCAAATTTGGAAGAGGAGAAACTGGGTTTGATTCTGATAATGAAAAATACAACAGTGGTGGTGGTGAAGGAGAGAGAGAGGGAATTAGTGATGATGGAGATAGAGAATGGATTGAAATTGGAGACATAGTTGAAAGCTTTGGCGTATGTGTTGGGTTCGAGTGGGTCGAGCATAGTGCACAAGGCGGTGATGGAATATGGGAGTGCGGTGGTAGTGAGGAGGATATGAGACAGAGGAAGTGAGAGAAAGAGGAGAAATAGAGAGGTTTAACAGAGATGCGATAGATGAGGGGGATATGAGAGATGAGAGGGAACAAAGATTTTGCCAATTCCTGATTTCATATTTCACTTTGAATGCTTTTCGAGAAGGATAAAGATAAAGATGAGACAAGAGGGAAAATGTGTACCTTTTTTGGTCATTTGAGCCTCAGCAATTTCGAGCTACGAAGCATTTTTCTCTTTTTTTAAGATAAATTACAAATACATCCTTTAATATTTGCTTAAAATATGAATTAATCATATAATTTTGTAGTTCTAGATATTATATTTTGTCCTTTGAAAATTTTGATTTCATAACAAATATTCTCTTCTGTTGATAAATTATCAAATCAATCACTTTTTGATGATGTTGAAAAACTATTTCAATTATTAACTCAGTTAATCTTATTATTATATAAGAAAACAATTAAAAATTTTATTTTTTCATTTAACTTTATAAAATAAAAAATTCTTACAGGGAGTATTTGTAATTTTTTAAATTATATGAAGTAATTTATATTCTAAGTAAATTTGAGAGGATGGATTTGTAATTTATCCTTTTTAAGTGCTTTCTAATCTAATAGAGTTTAATTTATTTTTTTTTTTAATTTTTATTTTAAATTAATTTTTTTTTCATATTTTTGTCAATATTTTTACCGTTTAGATTATAACTTAAAATTTTATTTTTAAAATAATTTGAAAAAATTATTAAAGATAAAAAAATAACAATAAAAAAGAATATATTACAATAAGGGGCCTTATAGTTTGGGCCTTGTGTTTGTGATGACCGGGTACGTCATTTGTCTTGTTCTTTTTCGTTTAACCTTGGGTTTGCCTTTATTAGAGTGTCGGGTTTAACCGAGAGCCTTGTTAAC